CAATCTGTTGTTAAATAGAAGATTCTATTTTATGTTATTAAGTATAACGATTGCAAACGCACTTCATATTTCCTCATTTCCCCACGTTGCCACCCTAATTGCTAATTCAGAAGGTACCGTGCCGCGTGCAAGAAAGCATCCCAGTTTCAAACTGAAACACTGGTCACGGTATCAACATTTCAGGGACCCTCTCAGGAAATATGGATTCACAGTTCTGCCTTATTCAGAACGCCATCGCAATATATTAGTAATCCAAGCAGAAAATAATCAAGATAACGGTTCCAAACTCTCGTCTGTGAAGTTCGGTAGAGAAGCCTCGGCGTAATGTACATCTACCAGACTCCACGCTGGTATTATGTAGCATCCGAAACGTGCTCTTAAACTTTGGACATTATTCTCGCGCGATGTGTTACAGCTGAGCGACCCGGCTCTTCGCCTGGCAGTATCTTTCGGAAAGCACTTTCCCTGCGAAGGTAAATGGCAGGTACCGCAACGTACGATGCAGCGCAGGGATAAAATTCAATGTTACAACCCACTGAAAAGGCTTGTGCAATTTAATGTCGTTTAATGGCGTTTAAATCTCCGTTGATGCGCCAGTTGGAGCCATTAGATGTTAGTTAATTATAAATTATCGTATTTTATTTTTACTAAGAATCAGTGGATTAACGTTTTGCGAACGAAGATTTTTAGAAACATGCGAAACGTTCGTTAGATGAAGTCAAATTATACATCGATCGCTTAAACAATAGAAAAAGGGAAAATATGTGCTCTCTTGCTGTTCAAAGAACTAATCGTCTGTTAAATAATTAATCGTCGTTTATCCTGTAATGTTGGGTGGTTGAATCTCTGATTCCACTGTGTGTATTAACACGTTAACTGCCACGATGGTCACCGATGATACTTCGGAATTGCTCGAGAAGAATCACAATCTGTAAGATGATCGACACCGAATAAACATGTTTAATAGCATAAATAACTAGATAATAGTGTTAAGTAAACATTGTGTCGAATGATCAATAATTGTTTCTATTCACGTTCGCCAAGATAAGCAACATATAAAACTCTCGGAATTCTCGTAGCAGTCAACGTATTAATACAGATACAGAAAGTCTTCTAAAATTCTCCAAGAATTAAAAGAGTTTCACTAAATCACCTTGTATCGCAGTAACAGGAGTTCCAAACAAAAATCAGTGAACATCGAAACGATTAACCGTTTGGATGCTAAACAACTTTCGTGGATATTTACCAAAAATGCGGAAGCGGTTGGGTATACATTCAAAAAAATTAATAAGAGTAGTTATCTAATGAGATCACAAATATTGTTACTACAAAAAAATATCAAAAAATAATATTCATTCGTATAAATTTACTTTGATTCATTTCTTGAAGAACATAGTAAGAAAATTACAATTGATACCGACGAACAGAAGCGCCTCCGCGCTCTCCGCAATTTTGGCACAAGACACGAGTGCTTAATTAAAATAAGATACTATCTCCTCATCAATATTCAATCCTCGAGCAAGATATGGACTCGCGAAGGATACAATTTCCGTTCTCGCGAGTCGTTAATGATAAATGCAGCTCGGGACAACGAAGCCGTGGAAGAAAGCGCGAGACAGGCGAGCAGACGTTGATCAAACTATGAATGAACCGTTTAATTTTTCAGCCCGGCCTGGAGCGTGTCTCGGGGAACTGTGGCGGACGAAACGAAACACTCGGGAAAAGAAGGAACGGCGAAGATGAGCGATCGGGACAAGTTGAAAAGCGTCGTGCGCGCGGTAAACGTTTGAGAGTATTTGCTCGGCGCCGGTTTATTGAAATCGCACGGGCGTGCGTATCGTCTGTCGAGCAAATGGGCAAATATACTTGCCAGCGCGGCGTACGTGTCGCGCCTCGTTCTCCTCGGTTTCTATAAAACAGCGAACGCGGACCTCCAGCAGAATTCACCGGCGGACCGTCCGACGATGAAAAATCGAAGAGTTCCGAGTGTACACGCCCGCGGAAATTCCTTCGCTGACGCTTTGTGTCCCTGTTAAGCGCGCAGTCGGGAGTCGCAGGGAAACTGCTCCAGTTCCGCGACAGGCCGACACGAATTCGTTAACCCTTTGTACTCCGCAAGTTCTTCACTGGAAACGCTCAATATCCTCCGATGAGATGCAGATGATCCTAAAATTGTTTCTCTCGGCACTTTACGTATCGATGTGTAACGCGAAATTTAATATTAACCCTTTGCGTACGAACGCCGACATCTCGACGAGATGAAATTTTCGTATTTGCAAGTCTGAGTCGTAAACGAATGATTTAATCGATGGAATCGCGAGAGATTAGCACGTAGTTTCCTGTTTCTCTATTGTTCAAGTAATTGTTATGTAATTTAGCTTCGTCTGTTGAGGGTTTTGTATGTTTCAGAGAATCCTCCGCGAAGGGTTAATTCGGACCACGACGCTTTGAGTCACATTTGAACTTTTCACTGAAACTTTTTGATTATTTCTGCATTTCCAAAAGTTGCTTTGGGCTTTTAAACTTTGGGCCCTATAAATAAAAACTAACATTTTAATCGTTCTTTTTATTCTCGTAAGCGAGTGAGAGTCACATCAATGACATCTTAACCCTTTGCACTCGACAGGTGACTCAGTCACCACTTGATTTGACACAGCAAAACAGTGAAGTTGAATACTTAGTATTTTAAAGTAAACTTCGTACTGCTATGCGAAATATTTAAAAAAAATATTCAAACAATGTCGTCTATGTCTCGTTGGAAAATGCTCGATATTTCCAGTGAAAAACTTTCGAGTGCAAAGGGTTAATCGTTCCTTTCATTCTCACAAGTGAGTGAGAGTCACATTGTGGTATGATTCGTTATAAAATCACGTTAAGATTAGGGTAAAACATGAAACTACAATTTCTCTGTCAAATCGAATGTTCAGTTTTACATTGCAGTGTATTTATATCGGGAATATGCACAATAGAATTGCAAGTTTCACTGTTGATCAGAAAGAAGTATCGTTCCATTACCATAACGCAGTAATATTCCTAATGGACCGTTTCCTTGCTCAAGGAACGGTAATTATTTCGAAAGTTACAAACGTGAGTTAAAGTTCCGAACGGCGTAGTGAGTTCGAGTAACTTTCCTTGTAACGATACGTATGAAACGTACACATTGTTACGTAAGAATTGAATTACCGTCCCGACTTTAAAGGATCCTCGCGGATAAAATTACCGTGTCCCCTTTAATCTCGCGAATCGTTTGAACTCCGTCGAATAATCTTCCTCCGAAGATTCTTAATCGGGTACCTTTGAAATTCATCTTTACGGCCGAACGGTAAACAAAGAATTCAATTTTCCTTATTCGACGTGAACATTTAACAACATTCCTTTTCCAATAATACCTGTCACAGTGGACTACTTTGAAACGGTACAGTGTCCAAACATCTGCTCCGCATCGGGAACTGATAAGATAGTGGGATTAAAAATTAAAAACAAAATCGCATGCAATTTAAACTTCCATCGAAGCGAAAGAAACAGTTACATCTTTATTCCCTCCTACGGTAAAGCACAAATAATCTACTGATCCACATTCAACGAGGATCGTTCCTATTAATAAACATTAAGATCCATCGATCTTCCCGAAAATTGAGAGGAGAATCCGGAGACCCCGTGGGAAGCGGTTATGTGCAACATTTATCCAAGCACCGTGAACCTTAATTCGCAGCTCGCGTTCGACAAGGTTGCATAAATATTAACGAAGAGAAGGGGCGCGACAATTTGCGTGATGACGTGATTCCGGAGGGAAGTTCTGGGACCGCGCCGCACGGAGGGCGGTTCCGTTGAATATTTTAACTGTCGCCGGCTCGTTTAATTAGTAAACATGATAAGGAAAGCACAGGGCGAATGATCGATATTTAAATTTATAATATCAGAATTCCTCTCCTCGACGCGGGGCTGCACGGTACGCGCGCGCCGGCGAGGGGCGGCGAAGGGGCGCAGATGGCTCGGTTCGCGACGCGAATTTTCAAGGTGGAGAGCCAACGTCGGATTCTCGGGCCGATATACCGCTCCAATATGCATTTATCGGGCAGAAGTCGATAGAATTGCATAGAAGTCACCAATTTACGGAAGAGACGCGGCCGGAATTATCGGATTTTCCGTCGGCGGAACGCGATACCGCACGTCGCTGGAAAGTAAACGCGCGTCTCGTCGTCCCCTCTGCAATTTTCCTTCTCTGTTTCGCCCGGGATCCGTCGTTTCTCGTTCCTTAAACAGCGCCGGGATGGCCCCCGGGTTTACCAGATATCCCGGGGAACGGGAGAAAGGAAGGAAGGAAGGAGAGACGGGAGCGAGGAGGACGTCGACGGGGAATCATTCGGAAAATTAAGGTTCGCCGGGTTGGATCTGCCGGGATGTGTAACGGCGAACGGATTACTTGAAAGAGGCAAACGAGGACGACGGCCGGGGCAATATTTTCCGGATGCTGACCGTTGGATCAACGGATCAAGCTTCTTATCAGCGTCTGATCCGAGAAATCCGCTCTACGATAATCTGCATGCAGCGCACCCAATTTTCGACGATTTCACGTATACGTGAGATTCTCGGATGCATGAGAATTGGATCAACGAAAGCTCCGTTTACTTAGATACTCGAGCATCGTTAAAGATTCTCCGAGATCGAACAGGAACCGGTGAGATCGAGGTTGACGAGTGCTCCCTCCCCTCAGCGATCATCGCGAGCGGTCGAATCGATAAACCGCATCTGCCGCGTTCGAAGCAACGCGGAGCACATGGCTGGAGCCTCGAAAAGTCGCTGCGAACGCGGAAACAAAGGAACTCGATTTCCACGGACGCACAGTCGAAATCAGTCGCGACCTTCCCGTTCGTCGCTCGCGAATAAATCGCGGAAACGGAACCGTGAACGCTCCGACTTCGTTCTAGCTCCCCCTGACAGCTCTTTGTTAAGTAACCTAAACAAACTTGACAAAGATAACAGAAACGAACGGTACTTACCGGGGTGTGACACAGTGACAGTCCAAACAAGCTCGGAGGAATCAATTGTTTCGGTGGGAAGAAAGAAAAAATGGGGACCGTCGAGAACAAGCAACCCCTTCTGGCCCACTGCACGTAAAAAATCTTACTCGTCGAAATCACTGGACACGATCGGAGTCGCGACGATGATCCACGGGTGCGCGATCTCGCGTAGGAACGGGCAGACGCGCGCGATGGCTTGTGTTGCGACGCCGCGTGCCGACTGAAGCCGACGTTTTTCCTTCTGGAGACTCGATTCCGCGAGGGGAGCGGGCCGGTAGGGGGGGCCGGGTGCTGCCGCCGACACCGTGGACGCCAGCGTCCCCCACCAGACACCGTCGACCTCCCACCCCTTGCCAGACGCAGTCTACCCCTATTATTCACCCCCTACTGGCGCGAATTCGGATCCACGTGGTGCGCAATCGTCGACCGGTCGACGCTCGCGGCGTCGCGCCGCGTCGCGTCGCGTCGCGTCGCGTTGGCTCGGCTCGCTCCGAATGCGCCCTTGATTTTGCTTTTTGATCGCGTCCTCTGTGGCCAGACGGCTGTTGCGGTGGCGATTCTGTTTTGGTAGCGATGCGCCCGGCGGATTGTAACGTGGACCGTGTCACGTGCTGGTAAACCGAATGGATGGTTATGGCACAGTTCCCTTTGTTGCTCGATGGAATTTCTTTCAGCTAGGACTTTTTGTACGCTGTCGCTCGGTGGGAGGGTTCATTTGGTTTCTAAATGGCCGAATGTTTGATTGTTTAGTTAGTTCTTTGTCTTTGATTTGGTAGATAGCTAGTTCTCTGTCTTTGATTTGATAGATAGCTAGTTCTTTGTCTTTGATTTGGTAGATAGTTAGTTCTTTGTCTTTGATTTGGTAGATAGTTAGTTCTTTGTCTTTGATTTGGTAGATAGTTAGTTCTCTGTCTTTCATTTGGTAGATAGTTAGTTCTTTGTCTTTGATTTGGTAGATAGTTAGTTTTCTGTCTTTGATTTGGTAGATAGTTAGTTCTGTGTCTTTCATTTGGTACATAGTTAGTTCTTTGTCTTTGATTCGGTAGATAGTTAGTTCTTTGTCTTTGATTTGGTAGATAGTTAGTTCTGTGTCTTTCATTTGGTACATAGTTAGTTCCTTGTCTTTGATTCGGTATAGTTAGTTCTTTGTCTTTGATTTGGTAGATAATTCTTTCAGATTTCAAAGGGAGTAATTACTGCTCGCCGTTTATTGAAATTTCAGATTGAACTTAAGAATACAGGAAATCACCTTCGCTTGGAAGAGACTCCTTCCGACGAATATCGTATCGATTAACTTACACTCTTCGTACATTCTCCCTGCACGGATCTCGCATCGACACGTACAACGCAGACTCAACCATCCACATCAAACCTCCCCACGGAAACATTTCGAAGAATAACTCCAGTACTCCCGACACTCAGCCTATCCCGAAGAATCACAGAAACCTACCATCCCCTCGAACACATCGAGCCAGCCCCTTTGAAATCTAGGAAGAAATTCCGAGCGACCCTCGAAACATCCGAGTCAGCGGCGCGGTTACCGTTCGCGGTTATCACCCGACGTCGCCGATCGAAAACACACCGGGGGTGTGCATTGTGCACCGAAAACGTCGTCGGCGGTGTGTCGTGGCCGGCGATGCAGCCGGCGGATCGATCGGGTGCAGTGCGTTCCGGCGAGCGACGAGGACAAAGCGCGCCGCTGGATAACGGGATAAAAAGAGACGGGCTGCGCGCCGAGGGGATGACGCGAGGAACGAGAGCCGAGCAGAGGAGGACGGGACTCCGCTCGTAAATTTTGGGACTGGGTTCACGGGCTGGTGAAGGTCAAGTGCTCGCCAATGGGGTTACTGCCAGGGGTCGCGGGGCGAGAGACGACGCGGGTCCATCGCCGCGCCCGCGGAACGCAGTGTTTTCAGAGTTAATTTCGTAAGTGCTTCCGCGAGGTAAACTGGATTACACGCTGCGACCGCTGGCGATGCACACCGGAACCTGTACAATTGTTCAACCCTTCGCACTCGAAGAGGTTTCCACCGGAAACACACACATCCCGATGAAATGTGGTCAACGTCTCTTGAAACTAGCTTAACGAGGGACTGTACATAAATTAACACTAAAAATATCAACACTTCAAAATGACCTAATTTCTTTAGGTTATTAAAAAGATAACAGATGTTTCTCCGAGGAATGATTAAAGAAATTGATTCAGCACCACGCAAACTGCATTGTAAATCGATTGAATTCTCAACAGATACTCCCCGAGTTTCCATAGAGAAATTTCAAGATGTCAATTTAATAGGTAGGGTGTTTCATTTGAATATTTAACATTATTCTTCATAATCTTTCCGTACCGAATCGAGTGGCGACTGAGGCGCCTTGGAGTGCAAGGGTTAACTCCATCTCGATTGGTAGCATAGATAGGTTATGGATATTTTAAATGACTAGGTAGAAGCTTAGACAAAGGGAAATTGTATCACCCTGAGATCTTTGCTCAACTGGTCATCAGCTGTACATGTTCTGCTTGATTAGCGCGGAGCCGCGAGTTTCTTCCCAGAAGATTCATATTGAAAAGAATATTCAGAGACGAAAGGGTTAAGGCGCCTCAGTATTCCTGGTCGCCCCATCTCGTGAATATAAAAATCGTTCCTGTGAATTGGAAAGGGTGACTCGTGCGTGTAGTAAACGATGAACGGTGGGGTAGAGGTTCTTGAACTCTGGCTGAATGCCTGATACACTCCGTAGGGTTTCCGCGTCTCTGCTCGATGGCTCGTTCCTGATGATCACAGCGAGGGTGTTTGATTTTAGAGAGTGGAGGGGAATCGTGGTCGTTCGAGTGTTTTTTTCTTTGGATTGAATGTGACTCATCGACGGGGTCCGAGGAATAGCGGGTTCGTTGTCTAGGTGACAAATTTGATTTCATTCGGTTGTTACTGATTGTGCGAGTTGGTCGACGACAGATGCGGTTCGTGGTTCTCGCAGGAAATTGGGAATTAGGTAAACACGTGTCCGGAATTACTATACGTGTTCCCGTGTAAATTATAACTTTCGGGCGCGAGTAATTAAACACAACTTCTACGCTTTCCCTCGATGAAGGGGGTAAATTAGAGTGACCGCAAGGAAGTTTACGGGCGCAATTAGAATCGTCACGTGGACCTTCTTTAGCCCTCAGTCGGGCGCAACTGATTTAACAGGCGCAGCCAATGTTTGTTGTTCTGTCCTACCAAAGCGAGTGCTCGTTACTTTTTGTGTTTACATTCTGCAGAGACCTATAACGTGCGGTACGCATTTGAACATTGTGTGTGCGAGTCGCAGCACTTCGTGCCTGTTACGCACATTGCGCCCAATTGTAGTAGAACCATTATATGGACCGTTTATTTTGAAAGTGGTCCATTTTTAAAAAAAATGAGATATCACGTAATTCATGCTTAATTTAATGTAAATTTTTTATGTATAGCTAGTTCGTGTTTAATTTCTTAAAAAATTCCCATGTTTTGTACAATTTAAAATTGGTCGGTAAATGAAATTGCATGATCATCGATTATGAAAGTGGTGTAAGTCCAATTGATCGGTAGCCTGTTATTTTACATTTGTTTTATATTACGTGTAACGCAATGTAGAAAACATGATAAATTCATTTTACATGAAATGAAATGAAAATTATTATCTTATTACATATTATGTCTGTGATTACATTGGTAGCATCGGTGATCGCATTCACAATCAAAACTGAAACGATTTCGTAATTGTGAAAATAGAAGTCGCTTATCAAGATACGAGTGCAGCAAGTGTAAACGTGCATTATGTATGGAACATGCTACTTTTTATTGTAATAAACGCTCAGAAATTGCTTTCGCCAATGCCGCAGAGCAAATGGAATAATAAACATGTTTTTATTTGAGTAAAAAGTTTGTTTTTGTAAAAGTGACCTATTACGCACAATGCGCCTGACCGTGGGTTAGTAAGTGATGTAGCGATGTTACTGCGATAGTCTAAAAACAACTTGAAATCGTTACTTGAGAAAATAACTACACCTGACACTCGATTTACGCGACAATCCGTTCCACGTGGGTTCGTTCCACGCGAGCGAAAATGAAAATGAAAACGAAATATTGAAGAGAGAAGCTGGTAGATGTTTTAGAGATACATAATTATTTCACTAAATTCAGATCGCGTAAACTGAGATTGCGCGTAAGAACCACCGTGTTCCAATTTACCGCGTAAAACAGAGGCGCGAAGGAAATCGAGGCCCAGGTGTACAGTTTAACGTCTGAAAAAATAATATTTTCCAACTAGACGATGGTTGTTTTCGAATGAATTCAAAAAGAAATCATAGTTCAATATTAAATATTAACCAGTTAACCGTGTTCGACGAGTATACACGTCATCTTAAAACACTCAAGGGTGTTAACTTTTTCTACGATAGATCGTTTATTTCTTGAGATAAACATGTAATTCTTCGTTTCGCTTTATCTTTTCGTTAGGATATATTTTAAGTGCATTCGGCCTGCATTTAACGAGTATAAATTTAATTATTCGATTTCATCGCGCGCAGTGAGAGATCTTTCAAACTAAATTCCACACTTAACTGGTTAAATTTTCTAATTTTACCGAGTCGAATCAAATGGTGACTGACAGTCGCCTTTCGAGTTCAAACCCTTTAAATACTTATTACATCACCGTACCGTCGTAAACAAGAATACTCAGCTGAATTTCTGCAGGTTTCTGGAACCGCTTTATCAGTAGCACGCAGCGGAAACGTAATAAATTAACATGTACCCGGAAAAAGGGCGATAAAAGTCAGAGGAAACAAGCCGCGGAAGTAGCGGCCATGTTTATATTGTAGTAAACGCGTCTCTGTCTCGTTCTGGCCGGGAACCATTGGCGTTCCAATCCAATCAAGGCACAGCCACCCTTTTATACCCCCGGCAGTCGGGCTTCCGCATGCGAATCGTCGAATGAATCACGCCGGTCGCCTCTCGATCCTCTCTTGATCACCGATATCGGAGTCTTCCGCGTCCTCCGTCGTCGCGCGAGCGAGGGACAGCTGTCAGAGGGTGTCCGGCCCGGCTAATGGGCAATTTCATTCGGACGCGCCGGGCTTACGTTCGTTTATCACGGTTACCGGGGCCGGGAGATCCAGTTCAATATGTGCCCATGAATCCGAGTCAATTACAATACCCCGAGTTTCGGTTCACGAGTTTCGGACAGTGGCCAATACCGGGTTATGACCCATCGATTATCATTTCAGGCTGGCTCCGGACTGAACAATGAAACGGTTTCGGAAATGTACTTGTGAATACATCGTTCATTTATTCACCCTAATCGCCTCCCGTGTTTTTACAACGAATCGCACCGCGATGCGACTGTCGATCACTTACGAGAATAAAGGGAACGATTAACCCTTTGCGCTCAAAAGTTTTTCAATGGAAATATCGAGCATTTTCGAGACGTAGACGACACTGTTTGAAACTAATTTAACGATAATTCACAGATCAATTAACACTGACTGCCAAGTAAACACTCATCGAAACTCGCATGTACTCGAAACAGTTTTTTCTATTAACCGGAAACTCAGAAATCAAGATTCTTCTTAATTCTGCTCCACTGAGGAGCAGTTTAATTTTGTACTGCATAGATTTTGCTGTAATCTCGAACAAAAATTCGGCCCATAGAGGGTTAAGTATCTTTTACAATTTAAAATCAATGGTGTAGACGCGTAGGTTAATATTGATGTAATGGATGTGTGTGTATATCTATGGGTATAACGTGCGTGTATTCGTTGTTTTGAATAAACTCGAAAAAAAAGATATTTGAAGAAACGAAGTTTGTGTTGACAACGTAAATTAATGAATTATCATCGTTCAAGTAAACGTCTATAATGGAAATTCTAAGTCTGTTTATTATATTATCAATATTTTCTGCGGAATTAGCTCAGAGAATGTTCGGTGGTAGTTTCAACCCTTAAGTTCTATCAAAAAAGCCAATACAATTAAGTCGATTTTCTGATATTTTCTGGTTTCCGTCAATTTTAGTGGAATAAATAATATTCTGTTATAAAACTCCGTTTTTTCTAAGTTAGAACGCTCTTTTTTTCTGAATTGTATAATTACTCCATGAACCGAAACGTTGATTTTCTCGATTTCTCTTTTCCAGGCTTAACACTAGATTTTTGAAGCCCCTCGAGGGTTTCGAAACCATTGAGTTAAATTTGAACCTATTTACGATGTACCTTATCCCTTCTCTATTAGTTATCCATGAATCCACGAGTCCACGTTCCGCTCTGCTGGCCCTGCCCTCTTTCCCTCGCACACGCCCTACGAAGGAACTCTCTTAATAATTCCATCAGGGGTCGTTTACCCTCGTGCAGGGCGTCCGCAAACGATCACACTCGTGTACTATAAGCTCCGAAAGTACGTACCTAGAGCCAGGCAAGTGAAGAGACCAATTTCTTCCATCTAATTCCGAATGTCAGTCGATTTAATGTCCAACATAAATACATTTCATTGGATTTGATTCAGCAGTACTCTTAACGATCAATCGTTGTAATGTTTTTCTCGATATATTGGCTGATATTTTGCGGGAACGAATATAAATGGAAATTATATACATGTACCGCATTCGGTAACATATTCATTGTTAAAAATGCTTTTGAAAATGTAAGGTAAAAAGTATTTAATCTTTATAGCCGAGGATCAAGAGCTCTAAGTTATCAAACATTGTTTATCTTCTAGTTTTCCCTGGACGTATCTTGTTATACCCGTTTATGAAATCGTAAACTGCGTATTACCACAGGAAAGCAAGTACGTGTGCATAAAAAAATGCTTCCACAAGTTTCAGCCATAAATCCCGACCCCTTTCATCCTTTCGCTATTTATATGATTTAAGAAGCGACGCCTTGAACTCGCGTAATCCTCCGAGGTCGTCGAAGTATTCGCGCAGAAAGAATGGCTTAATAAAACTTCGCCTATCAACCGTCACCGGGATTTCAGGCGCTTTTTGAACTCCCATCCGTCATACGGTACCGAATTTTACACCCTCTTCGATATGTTATCGATCATGCGGACAAGTGAATCTCTTTTTAAATTTGAGAACTTGAGAATTTGGAAATTTGGAGATTTGGAGATTTGGAGATTTGGAGATTTGGAGGTTTGAGGATTAGAAGATGCGAAGATTTGAAAGTTTAAAGATTTGAGAATTTGATGGTTTGAAGATTTGAAAATTTGAGAGTTTGAGAGTTTGAAGATTTGAAGATTTGAAAGTTTAAAAGTTTGAAGATTTGAAGATTTGAAGATTTGAAAGTTTGAAAGTTTGAAAGTTCGAAGATTTGAAGATTTGAAGATTTGCAGATTTGAAAGTTTAAGGATTTGAGGATTTCATAGTTTGATGGTTTGAAGATTTGAAAATTTGAAACTTTGAAACTTTGAAACTTTGAAACTTTGAAATTTTGAAACTGTAACTTTGAAGCGTTGAAACTTTGATACTTTGAAAATTTGAAGATTTGACGATTTAAAAATTTGAAAGCTTGAAGAATTGAAGATTTTCAGATTTAAAGGTTTGAAGGTTTGAAGAGTTGAAGATTTGAAAGTTTTGATAGAGATGTTAAAAATTTGAAGATTTGATAGTTTGATAGTTTGAAGACTTGAAGAATTCAAGATCTCAAGGTTTAAAGATATCCAGATTTGCAGATTTGACGATTTAAACATTTTTATAATAATAACCTATCCTGTAACCTTCGATGCCCTGATGTAATCTGTATATTCGATGGGTTCATTCTCGTTACATTCCCGCGCAACTTGATAGCGGCCGTGAAATTTGCATACATATGCGAACAGACGTGGTGATGCAGAACCTGTCGATATCACATTAATACAAAAGATGAATTGTACCGTGTACCAGCCAGGTTCGAATTGCTTCCGTAATTGACGAAAATCTGTGCGCAAACGAACCTCACAGTTTAGCTCGGTTTTTCCTGTGATTTACTCGCAGTAACGAATTTATTGCTTTCAGGATTAGCATTCTACGACTTGAAATTCCGTGGGTATATTTATTTAAAGATTGGTTACTTGAGGTGGAAACCGTTCCATATAAAGTGCACGGTACTCGGGTGGCACGAGAGAAATTTCTAATTATAATGTAATTACTACTTCTAATTATATCGCAACTACCGAAGGTATAACGCACTTAATCGACGGAGTAGAGAATACGCAGCAGGAACGTGTTATTGTACTATTACGGATTTATTGCTCGAAATATATCTATAATGATGATGTACACATAAATAGACCACGACCACTAGTTATAAAAATAATAATACAACTGCAGATCATGAGCACTTTCAACACCCTAGCCTTAATTTATGTTTCCCTACATTTTAAAAGGAATTCAGAGATTTATGCGCGATATTTAAATTTTAGGAACGTTATCAATTTCTAGGCCGACTGCGCTACTACGATTTGTTCGTATCGTCTTCCTTTTTCTCGTCTTCGTCCGTCTCGTCCTCGTCCATCGACAAATCCGAGCCATCCTCTATCCCTTTAGTTGTTTTCTCCTCGTCCGACTGATTCGATCGGTCATTTCCTTCTTTTCGGTCCACGTTTTCCGTACTACTCCTCTTTTCCGGCTGGTTATCGGACTTGTAATCGTCGTCCTCTACTACCTCCTCTCTGTTGGCGGACCTGAAATTTTATTAAACGCTTTTGTCATCTACGTAACTGTTTATTACAGCGATAATCCTCCGCGAAAGCGGAACGATAATTCCGACGCCGTTCGATCGTAATCGCTGGCCATCCGGAAAGTCCTGAATCGCTTCTTATTTTCACTTTACTGCGCTCGAGATCCCTTTCGAATTGAAAATTTGTCCTTGGTATTACTACCAACTTTATGAAACCGGAATTATGTTAGTATCCGTGCTAATTAGATTCTTGTAACTTTTATGGGAAATATTCGAGCGTGAATGTTTGAAAAATTGAGGATTCGGAAATTTGGAAGTTTGGAAGTTTGGAAGTTTGAAAGTTTGAAAGTTTGAAAGTTTGAAAGTTTGAAAGTTTGAAAGTTTGAGACTTTGAAAGTTTGAAAGTCTGAAGCTTTGAAAGTTTGAAAGTTTGAGACTTTGAAAGTTTGAAGCTTTGAATGCTTGAAAGTTTGAAAGTTTGAAGCTTTGAATGCTTGAAAGTTTGAAAGTTTGAAGCTTTGAATGTTTGAAAGTTTGAAAGTTTGAA